TCTCACCTCACCCCTGGCCGGTGGTGGGGCTGACAGGATAGTCAGGATGGTATAGAGAAAGAGGACAGGCCTCGAAGCCACACCTTCCTTCTCTGCATTCTCTCTTGCATGGCTTCCTTCCCAACTTCCCAGCTGGTCGCCATTTGGTGATGGAGTCCTTACTGTTCCATTTTAGGTCTATCACATCATCATAAAAAGCTCTCTGCTGACTTTGGCTTTTCCTGTAGTTGGAAGCCCCTATATAAGCGGCATAAAATGCACCATGAAGACCTGGAGCCTTATGAGCTCACTTAGAAAACTGATCCCATTTCTGCATACTAAGACCTGGTATGCTGAGGTTTCTTTCACTGAAGCCTAGTTCTAATTGTTGGAATGAAATTCACTTGAATTGTGATTGAGACTTTGATTGAATTTTGCCTGAGAAAAATGTTGCTGTGGTCGTTTGAAAAAATCCAGGGGGAAGCGGTGTGATTGTACATATCAGCCTCACTCTGTAGATTCTGCCTGGTATGGGAAACTTAAGAGTATAGTTTGTGTAGTATTAGTTGGGTTAAATATTTATTTCAGTTTTTGCTACTAATTAGAGCTACCAGCTGTGAACAACTTGAAAAAGTGTAGTGTGATGTTGTTTTGCTTGTTTATGAGAAGTAGCTGAAAATGTGAAAATTTTCACCTTGTGGAGTACATAGTCTAGAACTTCATGGCCAGCTGACCCCCATGTAACCCAGCAGGTCCTGGTTTTGGATGAGAAAATCAAAACTCAGGTAGATTACCTGATTGATCCAAAGTCTAGCTGATGGAAAAACAAAGACTGTTTGGACTCTTTGCTGGGCTATTACTGTCTGTAACGTCTCTGCTGGTGTTTGTATTATTTTAAACCTTTAAAACTGAAAAAATCTTTAAGATTTGCCTGAATGCAGACAGAATTCTCTGTGCTAGTTTTTTTCTTGATTTTATGTGACCTTTTCAAAGCCAAGACATGTATCTTTCTCATATTATAGACTGTGAAGTAGGAGAGAAGACAATCGGCAGCATAGTATATAGATCAAAGGGACTCTGGAGAACGTCCAGTTGAGAACAGCCTTTTGAGGAAAACTGTACAGAGAGGCTAGTAACTTTCATCCCAGGTCCTCCAGATTGTTGATGGCCAAGCTTGGATTAAACCTCAATTAGTATTTATTCCTTTCTCTGATTCCTTGTTCATTATTCTGTTTTTATATTATTTTCTTTTTTCTTTATATAGCTGTATTGAGATGGATATACATTTTGTTTATCTATTCATCAGTGGATGGGCAGTTAGGTTGTTTTTCACTTTTGGGATATTGTGAATACTGCTGTAAATATTTTCAACTCTCTTGAGTATATACAGTACCTAAATGTGGAATGGATAGATCACATGGCAACTGCGTTTGGCATTTTGAGGAACTGCCAAAGTGTGTTCTGTGGTGGCCACGTTATTTTACATTCCCACCAGCAATGTATCAAGGTTCCAGTTTCTTCACATTCTACCAACACTTGTTAATGCTTGTCTTTTTGATTTTACTGGGTTTGAATTGGTGTATCATCATGGTTTTGATTTGTGTTTCCCTGATGATGAATGCCGTTGAGCCATGTTTCTTGTGCTTATTGGCCACTTGTATTATCTTTTTTAGAGAAATACCTGTTTCTGTCCTTTGCCCATTTTTAATTTTGTTGTCTTTTTGTTTATGTATTTTGGATACAAGTCTCCTGTCAGCGATATGATTTGCCAGAATTTTCTCCCATTCTGTGGCTTGTCTTTTCACCTTGATGGTGTCCTTTGGTGCTGTTTTTGTTTTCTGATAATCCACACCTAAGAGAACATGTCCTTATTACCTTTCCTATATCTTCATTGTTATTACCCAGTGTCAGCAAAATTTTATTTTATTTTTTATTATTTTTAAAATTTTATTTTATTAGGTTAGTCATCATACATTACATGATTAGTTTTTGATGTAGTGTTCCATGATTCATTGTTTGCGTATAACACCCAGTGCTCCATTCAATACGTGCCCTCCATAATACCCATCACCAGGGCAACCCCCCCTACCCCCCTCCCCTCTAAAACCCTCAGTTTGTTTCTCAGAGTCCATAGTCTCTCATGGTTTGTCTCCCCCTCCGATTCCCCCCCTTCATTTTTCCCTTCCTACTATCTTTTTTTTTTTTTTTTTAGACATATAATGTATTATTTGTTTCAGAGGTACAGGTCTGTGAGTCATCAGTCTTACACAATTCACAGCACTCACCATAGCACCTACCCTCCCCAATGTCCATCACTCAGCCACCCATCCCTCTCACTCCCACCACTCCAGCAACCCTCAGTTTGTTTCCTGAGATTAAGAATTCCTCATATCAGTGAGATCGTATGGTACTTGTCTTTCTCTGATGGACTTATTTCACTTAGCAAAGTACCCTTTAGTTCTATCCATGTTGTTGCAAATGGCAAGATTTCTTTTCTTTTCTTTTCTTTTTTTGATGGCTGCATAATATTCCTGTGTGTGTGTGTGTATGTGTGTGTGTATACCACATCTTCTTTATCCATTCATCTGTTGATGAACATCTTGGCTCTTTCCATAGTTTGGCTGTGTGGACATTGCTACTATAAACATTGGGGTGCACGTACCCCTTCAGATTCCTACATTTGTATCTTTGGGGTAAATACCCAGTAGTGCAATTGCTGGGTTGTAGGGTAGCTCTATTTTCAACTTTTTGAGGAACCTCCATACTGTTTTCCAGAGGAGTGGCTGCACCAGCTTGCATTCCCACCAGCAGTGTAGGAGGGTTCCCCTTTCTCCACATCCTCACCAACATCTGTTGTTTCCTGACTTGTTAATTTTAGCCATTCTGGCTGGTGTGAGGTAGTATCTCATTGAGGTTTTGATCTGGATTTCCCTGATACCGAGTGATGTTGAGCACTTTTTCATATGTCTGTTGGCCATTTGGATGTCTTCTTTGGAAAAATGTCTGTTCATGTCTTCTGCCCATTTCTTGATTGGATTATTTGCTCTTTGGATGTTGAGTTTGATAAGTTCTTTATAGATTTTGGATACTAGCCCTTTATCTGATATGTCACTTGCAAATATCTTCTCCCATTCTGTTGGTTGTCTTTTGGTTTTGTTGACTGTTTGCTGTGCAAAAGCTTTTTGTCTTGATGGAGTCCCAATAGTTCATTTTTGCCCTTGCTTCCCTTGCCTTTGGTGATGTTTCTAGGAAGAAGTTGCTGTGGCTGAGGTCAGAGAGGTTGCTGCCTGTGTTCTCCTCTGGGATTTTAAAAGATGGACTCCTCTCTCACATTTAGGTCTTTCATCCATTTTGAGTCTATTTTTGTGTGTGGTGTAAGGAAATGGTCCAGTTTCATTCTTCTGCATGTGGCTGTCCAATTTTCCCACCACCATTTGTTGAAGAGACTGTCTTTTTTCCATTGGACATTCTTTCCTGCTTTGTCGAAGATTAGTTGACCATAGAGTTGAGGGTCCATTTCTGGACTCTCTATTCTGTTCCATTAATCTATGTGTTTGTTTTTGTGCCAGTACAGATTACATGTCAGCTAAATTTTATTTATTTATTTATTTATTTATTTATTTATTTATTTATTTATTTATTTATTTCATGTCAGCTAAATTTTAAAAAGGTTTTTCATATCCCGTTGTAATTCAGTTTTTGCATATGCCCTGAGGCAAGGCCCTTATAGAGATCATCAAGTAAAGTGTCCACCTAGTTTTCCACCTAATAGGCTCCACCATTTGAAGTACTTCTGAAGTCCTGTGTGTATTCCTAGATCCTCCCAAGTTTTTCTGGTGCTTTCTTGGTCATGATTTTAGGTAGTGGGTTCCTAGTAAAGCAGAAATAGTCTCTGCTTATTTCTTATGAAAGGCTCTTAAGGAATATATAAAATTTGTCTATTTTATTTGCTATCATAGCTGTAAGAATCTTTACAAAACATATCGTACAATATTTTCCAATTGGAAAGACCAGATGTTTCAAATCAAGTCACCAGGTATTTAGAAAGCTCCAGCTGTCTTCTCAGCACTTTTCCATGTTTCTCTCCAATTGTTGGCATTTGACGTTGAATGACATATTTTCCAAAAAATATGACTTCAAAATGTTTATGAATCATAAATGCCCTTTTTTAATAAATCATGGAAAAATGAATGTAAGTACAAATGATTTACTGTCAGAAATGGTTTTTTAAAGTGTTTAATTATATGGGGCACCTGAGTAGCTCAGTTGGTTAAGTGTCTTGACTCTTGATCTTGACTCAGGTCTTGATCTCAGGGTTGTGAGTTCAGGCCCCATATTGGGCTTCACATTGGGCGTGGAGCTTACTAAAAAAAATTAAAGTGTTTAATTATCAAAATGAGAATGTTTTGGTGTCATTTTCCTCTCTGAAATCCCTCTCTTACAGCCTCTCCTCCCCTTATACATGATTGTCTGACTTTAATGATAGGACATCATTTTAAAGAATTTGTACTTAATGGCTCAGTCCCCACTGGGCGGTAAGCAGCTCCTTGAGTTTATTATACTTTTTGGCAGGTATGGAAATTTCTAGGTCACCAGGGAACTTTTGATTAAATTACTCCTGAAGTGCACTAATTGGTCTTTTCTACAGTGCTTAGGTAGTTCCAAGGAGACCCTGACCAGCTGGCAGAACTTTGCCCATTAAGATCTAGTCTCAGCTTTGTTTTCTGGAGTGTTTTCTTGCTTTTGTTTTTTAAGAAATCACTGATTGGGGACCCCTGGGTGGCTCAGTCGTTAAGCGTCTGCCTTCCGCTCAGGTCATGATCCCAGGATCCTGGGATCTACTCCCGCATCGGGCTCCCTGCTCAGCGGGGCGTCTACTTCTCCCTCTGCCTGCCTGTCGCCCTGCTTGTGCTCTTGCTCACTCTCTCTTGCCCACGCTCTCTCTCTCTAGCAAATAAATAAATAAAATCTTAAAAAAAAATTCACTGATGTTATCTCCTTCCACTCTTTATTGATCCTAGTTTCTGATGAAGAATTGAAGAGAAGAGTGGCTGAGGAGCTGGCATTGGAGCAAGCCAGGAAAGAGTCTGAAAATCAGAAACGGTGAGTTTTGTGGTATCTGAGAGAGATTTTGGTGGCCTCTTATCATAATTATGAAACATTTTTGGAGAGGGATGATTGTAATAAGACTCATTATTTGCGTTTGGCTGCACTTCAGAATGTGTTGAGTATAAGAATGTGGCCATTTTTAGTTTTGGACTGTGCTTATGAAAGCCCGACGTTATGCTCTTCCCACACTTGATTGTGACCACTGTATCTCTTGTGAGGTTCTTAGCTGCATGATTACTGACAAGTTTCTTACTATGTGAGCAGTAGTTCTTGAGGATTCTCCAGACATTTCTTAGGCGAGTTTCTTCCAATATATGTGTTTATGATTGAAAATTGTATAGTCTACAGTGGGTGTTAAGGCTTACAATATTATAGCTAATGATGAATGTCATATGTTTGACTTAATGTCCATATTGACACTAACTAGCACTAATTAGTAATGTACTCACTCAAAGAAGCTGAGGACATTGCAGAAATATGTAAGGTTGGAAAATCAAAATCCTCCATACTTCTGTTCCATTTTTGAACATTTTAGTCTTTTGTACATCTATGCAATTATTGTCATTACTAATACTAATGACAGCTGAGAGAATGTTCACTGAAGTGTTTTTGTAATAGTAGAAAACGGAAGCACTCCAAATGCCCATTATGGGGACTGGTTGAATGAATTAGGATACATACCTACAATGGAATACTAGACAGTCAAGTAGATCTTTATGTGCTGATTCAGAAAGATGTGGAAAGACCATAAATTGAAGAAAAGCAGCGTTCAAAACAGCATGATAATATTTATTTGGTAAAAAATACTACTTTTAAAGATTTAAAGTATATACTTATTCATGAAAATATGTGAATACATTTTAATCCAAGATAGAGTCAAGTGCTTCCCATCTGTGCTATTTCTGAAATTTGCATATAGCAGAGTTTTATTATATAATCATGTGAATGTCTTCCTGCTGTGAATACTAGGCACATGCCTACCACATGTAGATGCCTAGCATGTATTTGTTTTTATTTTGGACTGCTTAACTATTTTGTTTGAGAGAGCTAAATGTAAAGAGTCTTTGGATTGGATTCTAGTCCTCAGTGACCACAGGACCTTCAACATATAATTTAACCTCTTTGGGCCTTCAAGATTTTATTTCTAAACTGAGGGGTTTGAAAAATGTTCTCTAATATTTCTTCCCTTTGACGAAGTGCTAAGCTACCTCTGATTTGCTTGAAATGTGTGGAGCAGGATATAAGTTTTAGATTAAGACCACCATTTTTTCGGGAAATAGGGAAGGCTCATGGCTTAGGGTTTTAAAAAAATCAAGATGTAATTAGTACTGCTGAAAGGGTCTGTGAGTATTTCAATACTTTCTTACAGAGCACTTTATAATTACTTAATTGGGTTAGGTTGATGGAGTATATAATTAGAGAGTGAAGTTTAAATATTCAAAAAATTTCAGACCATTTTCATTAAGAAGCAAAGAAAATCAATACATTATGGTAGAAATTCTTGTCTGAAATTTTATTATTTTTAATTGAATTTTATTTTAATAAGGCTTTTTTTTGGTTAGATGCTCGTATTTACTTTGCTTATTATACTTCACATAGGATTTTTGTCTTCCTTTCTCCCCATATGGTACAGGCTATTGGTTACAATAATTCCTTACTGTGGTGTTTGGTTTTTGTTTTTGTAGGTTTTTTTTCCCTTCATTATTCAACTCTCATTTGCTTTGACTTGGTCTGTGGAAGGTTAAAGGGCACATGAGATGAATAAAAGGTGCCAGTGAGATCCAATTTTATACCTCCTGTGGACTGAGGTTGGCAGCCTCACTGTAAACTGGACAAATGACTATTGATAAGGAATTTATTTTCTGTCACCTTTAAGGAGAGCAGAGGGTAGTAAAACCTTTTAATTATTTTTTCTTAAAAAAAAATTTTTATGTTTGACGCTTTCTTCATGAAAACTTCCAGCTGTCAAATCTTGGCAAAAAGTGTGTGTTCATCCATATGATAGTTCTTAGTAGAATCAATAGCTGTTTTTTTTTTTTTTTCTTTCTACTGGAGAAGAAATTTTAGGAAAAGCATTAAGAAAAAAATTCTTTTTTGAGAGAGAGAGAGAGCACATGGGCTGGGGTAGGCAGAGGGAAGGGAGAGGGAGCGAGAGAATCTTAAGCAGGCTCCATGCCCAGCGTGGAGCCCGAGGTGGGGCTTGATCTCACGACCCTGAGATCAAGATGAGCCGAAATCAAGAGTCAGATGCTTAACCGACTGAGCCATCCAGGAGCCCCACATTAAGAGAGTTTTATGTGTAGTCTTTTTTATTTTATTTATTTATTAAAAAGATTTTATTTATTTGAGAGAGAGAGAAAGAGCACAAGCAGGGGGAAGGGGCAGAGGGAGAAGCAGGCTACCCGCTAAGCAGGGAGCCTGATGTGGGGCTCGATCCCAGGACTCTGGGATCATGACTTGAGTCAAAGGCAGACGCTTAACCGACTGAGCCACCCAGGCACCTCTTTTTGTAGTCTTTTAAAAGCAAGTTTTTGGGGCGCCTGGGTGGCTCAGTTGGTTAAGCGACTGCCTTCGGCTCAGGTCATTATCCTGGATCTCTGGATCGAGTCCCTCACCGGGCTCCCTGCTCAGCAGGGAGCCTGCTTCTCCTTCTGACCCTCCCCCCTCTCATGTGCTTTCTGTCTCTCTCATTCTCTCTGTCTCCGATAAATAAATAAAATCTTTAAAAAAAATAAAAATAAAAAAAAAAGCAAGTTTTGGAGTCATGAAGCATTTAATACATTATTGTATCTGTTACCTTGATTGAATAAAGCTTTGTACGCAGTTTTAGAGAATGGTTCTTTGTGCCATTGTCCTGTCACTTGTATACATGCTGCTTACTAGTCTTACCTTGCTCTCCAGGTGCCCACATGATGGTAGGCGAGTTCTCAAGCACTTTAGAGTGGCGCATAGGCACACATACATGTAAGGAACCAAATTTGTGCAAAAAGGACTTTGGAAATCATATTTTTTTTTCCTACAGAATATTTATTATCATTGTTTAACCTTTTTATTATGGACATTTTAAAGCACGCTGAAAAACAGAGAAGAGTACAATGAATCCCCAGGAGCCATCATACTATTTCAACAATTCTGGTTTCATCTATACCCCAGTCACTCTGCCTATATGTGGCAAATGGTGAGGGAACAATAACATTTTTACTAAGCTGGTGAATTCTCTGGCAGGGAAATAATCTAAAATGTCTTCTGTCAGGCTTGCTTAAAGAAGGTCCTTTGTTTCAGCTGGGTTTTTGGTTGAAAGACTGAAACTTAATTCTGGCTAACTTAGGAAGCAAGGACATTTTGAGAAGCATATAGGATAGCTCAAAAGAATCAAAAGGAAGATGAGAGGACTACTAGCTAGTGAAGAACTGGGTACTACTAAAACTGTACACAGTGGGGAAGAAGTAAGTCCCTAAAAGGAAATCAGGTTGAAGGCTTCACAACAAAGGGAAAAGGATGGTGGCTGGCTAAATTCCACTGAATTGAAGAGGTCATCGATTTTAAGAAGCATTTGGTGTACCACTGAGAAAAAAATTGCTGCAAATTATAGCAATAATGGTTTATCTCTTAGAAATTTTATTGAAAGAGCTCATTAAGATTTTATTTGAATTTTTAAAAACCTATCACTTGTGTATTCATGAAAAAGGAAAATGTAAGCAAAATAAATAGGTTAGGGCAGTGTTCTGGTCCTCGGGGGGGAGGGGGGATACTTTCGTCCCCAGGGGACATAAGACAATGTCTGGAGACATTTTTGGCTGTCACAGCTTGCTTGGTGTTATTGGCATCTAGCAGGTCCAGACTAGGGGTGCTGCGGAATGTCCTGTAATGCACAGGATAACCACCTCCCCACCCCAGACAAAGAACTGTCTGGCTCAGTATGTCACTAGTGCTGCCATTGGGAAACCCAGGGTGAAGGGGTTCTTAAAACTTGCTCACATTTGGTCTGATTCTTCTGAATCACTCTTGGACTTGATGTTCTTGTTCTTATTCTGTGCCATCAAAACCTTGGCGCCTCAGCATTCCTTAAAAGATTGCTCCACTGTCGTTCCCGGGATTTTTCCAGGCTGCTGACAGCAGTTGTGCAAATTGTGATGTCACACACAGGCTGTGGCAGCTGTGCAGGACTGCCACGGGGCAGACAGCAGTTGTGAGACGCTTTCAGGCGGGTGAAGACATGGACGACTGTGGTCCTAGAACCGTATTCTGCCAGCACACTCAAGACACACTTGAGGCTGTAACATCTGCCAGGCTGAAGGGACTTGCTGAGTGTCTGTCTTGTGTCCCACCTGGTGCAGAGGGCCTTTGACATGTCTCTGCCTGGCAGGGGCCGCACACATGTACAGCCCATCCAGAAATCGTTTAAACTGAGGATATTTCATTAGGCCATTGAAAATGTACCCGAACTCCTTTCCTTTAAGTCTCCACTCCCTTAAATCTAAACATGCAGATGTAGCCTCATTAAAAGTTGCTTTATTAGGAGAAGGGCTCTGCTAAGACCAGTGACCATGTAGCTAGTTGTATGCACTCTGACTGGATATGCTGTATTCTCATTTCTTTTTTTCTTTTTTTCATATCTAAGAAAACATTTACACATGGACTCTCAATTCAGGTTGTTTTAGATCTGATTCTGTTTTATGAATATCTCAGTGATTTGCTTAGTTGACAAGCTGATACCCCCCAAATCACTGACGTAATATTAGGACACACACTAAAATTGATGGGTCTAATTTGGAATCCTGGTTTTGCTTACCACAACATCTCATGGATGGAATAGTTGTTTGGTGCATTGGGAGTCAAGAGTAAATTAAATGCCCATGTCAGCAGTCTGTTTTTGCTATCCTTCTCTATTGCCTATTTTGGATTATACCTGACCATACTGTGTTGGAACTGTAGCAAGCCAATATGGCAGGGACGCGGGATGCTACAGTTTGAGTATAGACTTTTAAAATGTG